CCTACATAAGAGTTCAGATTTGGTATGGTTTGACCAGAGGGACAGACTTCATGTTACTTCAAACAAACAAAAAAACTAAAACCTCCTATATACACTAGATGAATTTCCAAGGAATTATGATGAGTACAAATAGCCAACCTTAATGTATAATGTACTGTATGATTCCATTTATGTAAGTCTTGAAAAGGTGAAATCATGGATGTGGAGTACAGATTAGTGGTTGCCAGGGAGGAGGGTGTGGCCATGAAAGGGCAGTGGGAGGGACCTTGTGGTGGTGACCTGTTCTACATCTTGCTAGCAATATCAGTATTCTGGTTGTGATATTGTGGTTTTGTATGATGTTACCAGTCAGCAAAATTGGGTAAAAGACTTTATAGGATCTCTATATTACTTCTTATAACTACATCAAAATCTACAGTTATCTCAAAAAGTTGAACTTTTTTTTTTTAAGTCAAGGTTGATTTCTCATCTGGAAAATTTTGGAGAGTGAAGGGTGATTGTCATCTTTACTAAGTTTTCTCTGAAGGATAGTGCAAACTCTTCCACAAGGAAGTCAAGCCCCAAGTCCTTCAAAGAGAAGAATCCGCAGTGATAGGCCTGGTCTCCTAAAGTCAAGGGCTTGGAAACTCTTAGAGCTATTTCCTCAGAGACTTTACTTCCACAGGTGGAGGGAGAGGAGAAAACTCCACCCTGAAAGTCTGGTATTGGCTATATCATGAAACCCATTTGTGAACTATTTTGACTAAAACATTTTCAAATGAATAGTCGTGAACCCACATTATTTTTGGAACACTCCTTCGGTAAGGAGCCCTGGAATAGTATCAAACTAAAGGGTAAAAAATACAACACAGAGCCATGGTGGAAGCAAAATGGCTAACTCCATTGTTCGAGTCCCAGACCCAGTGGCTTGAAAATCACCAGGTACTAGTGCGTGCATGCCCAAAATTCCAAGAGGAGAATGGAGAAGGGATAGGGATTGCAGTTTGGCCATCCCCATGGGAGGTGACTTCTCACTTTCCTTCTCTCTGTCTCTTTCCAGTGAACACATGCATCTTATGGGGGGAAATATATATATATATATATATATATATATATATATATATATACACACACATACATATAAATAAAACCTAAAAAGTACAACACATTCTAAACCTTTAATATAATTTTCTTGAGGCTATTTCTAACCAAATTTATGTTGTGATTCTAATTCCAAGTCCCCCTATAATTTTATATTGTTTGTACTTTGTTAAACAAGAAAGATAAATTCTGAAAATACCTTCTTTATGCATCTTTTTAAATCTTATTTGCTAAGGCCCTATGTATATTATTTAAAAATAGTAACCATACATAAATACATATTATGCCATCCTAAGCATCAATGCTTTAAAAGGTAACTCTTTAATATATGCTGTGTTAAGCAGTATAGGCTATAAAGAAGAGAAATTTTTCATAAGTAGCGGAGTTTATTGTGAAGCTCTGAGGGAAATAAGAAAATCCAGGTGAGGGGATGTGACTGCATAGTGTGGCCTGAAAGGGACAACAAAGTTGGGAATTAACAGGGAGTTCAGAGTCCATGCAGCTACTGGAACTCAGTGACTTTTCATTCCCTTCTGTGTGCGCTGGTAGATTCCCCTTGTAGTGTTCTGCCATTATTCCACTACAGCTCATTTTCACTGTTTCTTTTTCTCTTTGTTCCTATTTGTTTCCACCTGTTCTGCTTCTCCCTGTGCTAAGCTCAGGTTGTCACAGAATGAGGATGAAGGCCCTGAAAGGCACGTGGCATCTGTGCTTTCCCACTTCATGCGCCGGGGGGCAAACCCTAGACTGGTTGTCTCTGGGAGGGCTCAGACTGGGTCCCAGTCTTTTATGGCCATGGTCACAGAGCCACAGTGCCAACAGGCAATTGGTGTGGAGGGGTCTCCTTAGAAACAGGGCCAATGTTGCAGACATTCTGTGGAATGCTGGTGTGGCCAAAGATCATTGTTAAGGGCTATTTTCTGTTAATAAAGCAACAGGTTACATTTTCTTATTAAATGTGACTACCTTACATTTCAAAAGGTTAGATCAAGCTTTGAGCCACAATGTGTTAGTAAAAGAATTATTTCAAGCATTTCCCCTATCCATCGTTTTCACTGTTTAAATAATTGAAGGGGAAAAATGGGTAATTTACCAAACATGAATTTTTGTTAGTAAACACCCCACAGATGAGAACCAAATGAGATTCTGATACAAAAATAAAGGATCCTACCAGAAGTATTTTTTATCTGTTTGTTTTTTGTCTTCAGATATATAAATGCTCTATGGAGAAATACATTTATATATTAAACAAGTCACCCTGGTAGAAAATGCATAATTTCCCACCTCTAAATAAAACTAATGAGCTACATCTGAGTAACTGAGGATAGTATTATGTGATTACTTTGACTATTTTCAAACCCAAAGGGAAAATATCTAAAAATTGGTAATTGATGATAGTTCAAGACACTTGGTTATGTAGTTTTTGATGAAGTTCTCGTTGGCAGGTTCCATAAGATAAAAGTGATCTCCTGGAAGCACATGAATGCCAAAACTTCCACTGGTTACATCCTTCCAAGCTAAAAATAAATAAAATTACATTTAAAAACAAATGACACCACTACAACTAAAGATTTACTTCTGGATATTATTTCTCTAAGAGCTGACACGCTGTGGTAGATTTACTTCCAAGGTCTTGTGTTCTGTGGCCTGTTTTTAATTTCTCCAAGACCTATCAGTATACAGGGGCAATAGTTGCATTCTCTCATTTTACACAAGACCAACAGCTCTTCTTTCACAAACTTGAACTGGGGCCAGCAGATGGCATGATGGTTAAAGTGCAGGACACCTGCATGGTTGACTGCAGTTTGAGTCCTGGACCTGGTGGCTTGCTTTCTCACTTTTAGTCTCTCTCTCTATCTCCGGTGAATTAAAATAATAATAATAAATAAATAAAACTAAATAAATGGTTCTTAAAAAAATTTTTAAACTTGGACTAATTTTCTATTCATCATAGTACTCGCTAGTTCTCATTGGCTGATAACTATCAAAAACATATTTCAGTAAAATATCCCAGTCTATAAACACAATTTCACCTTCCATATCCTTAGATATATCTTCAGATCCAAGAAAGCACGTTAAGTCACAAGAAAGAACAGCCTCAGATGGCGTATTGTAACTGTAAACATAAAGAGAAGTGGTTAGTAATTTTTAAAAATCATCCCAGGGTCTTCTCCTATGAACAACTTCACTGAAATGAAACACACAGTGGCCTCGCTTCTTTCCCTGTGGCTAGTGCCGGCAATGGAAGCATTTTTTTCTCCACTGGCTCTTTTACCCGTCAGAACCTGCCCAAGACCCACTGTACTCCAGGCCATCTTCCCACATAATCTAATGTCCAGAACACTACAGATGGCAGCGGGATGGCAGTGGGGCACCAGTCAGACACCCGGCTGACTCAGGGCAAGGCAGGTTACAGGAGTATTTTAAAGAGTCATTCTGCAGAAGCAACAACAGCTCTGGTACCTCCCAGTTTGTCAAGGTCCAGCAGAGGGCTGCTGTGCTCAAAATAAGAGTGGGTTCCACCCCTTCTCAGTTTTATCTCAACCACAGAGATTCATGGAGCTAGGCTCTGAGTGCTGTGCTGACACTGGGGACACGTGGATAAGCAAACAGCTTCTGCCCTCCTGCAGCTGAGACTGGCTGGGGAGACAGTCATCAGTGAGACAGAGAGGCGGGGTGGAGTACTACTAAGCCAGGTGGTCTGAGAGCTGGACAGGAAGGCAGAGTGGGGACAGGGGAAATGGAGTTGGATCTGAGATCTGATTGAACGTGAAAAAACTAAGCAGAGTGGATCGAGGCAGCAGGGGAAGAGGAGAGAGGACCAACCAAAAAGGGAAAGAGAAGAGAGTACCAACTAAATGGCTGTCGTTCAGAGAACAACGAAGGGGGTTACTGGGGCAAGTTAGGTAGAAGAGCTAAGCAAAGGATGAGTCTAGATTGCAAAGGATTTCGGTTATCCTAAGAGACACAGGAAGTCACCAAAAGATTTTACGGCACATATGATTAAACTGGACTCCTATCCCTCTGGATGTAAGGTGAGAAATGGATAGAAGGAGACTGTGTGAGAGGACCAGTTATAAACTGCTCTTTCTTTCTTTCTTCCTTCTTTCTTGTTTTTTTTTTAAAGAATTGCTTTATTTAACTTTATTTTTTTTAATTTGACCAGAGAAAGAGAGAGAGAGAGAGAGAGAAGGAAAGTGAGAAAGCAAGCCACCAGGTCCAGGACTTAAACTGTGATTGGCCATGTGGGAGTCCAGCATCCTTAACCACCATGCCACCTGCCGGCTCCATAAGCTGCTCTTTCAATAGTCCTGGCAAGAGTTTCTGCTTCAGCCTAGGTTGGAAAAACCAGGAGGTCCATTCCTACTGAAATAATGACAAAGAAAACCTAGATGGACTAACTTTTTTTGAACTCAACAGAGAGCCATGTTTGTAAGGTGGACTAGACACCAAATTCTGAGGGAGAGGCATGTGGGTGGGTTGAGGCATGGAAGAATACAGGAGGAAGGGGTGTCTGCTATACCTGCGGGTAAGATGACAGTCAGCTAGACTCTTTTTATTTATTTATTTATGAGATATTTTTGCTACAGGACACGTGTACTCACTGGAGACACAGAGACAGAGAAAAGTGAGAAACCACACCCCAGGGGGTATGGCCATGCCACAATCCCTTCTCCTCCACTCTCCTCTCAGGATTTTGGGCACACATGCACTTGCCTGATAAGAGTTTCAAGCTGCCAGGTGTGGGACTCAAACCATAGTGGACCATGTGGGAGTCCAGCACCTTAACCACTCTGCACCTCCTGGCCCCAGTTAACTAGAATTTTAAATAAGTGTTGGAGACCCAGTGCAGTGTGATGTGTGAGGTGAAATCGACACTGCTTCAAGGGCTTCTTCCTATGGTTCTCCACTAGGGGTTCCCAAGGAAGATTGGGGACAAGGCAGGAAGCCAGAGAGAGCCCCTTCAGTGGTCAGATGGGAACAACGTGCCACCTGGGACAATGGGACAGGCACCAAACTCTAACACCTTCTCTGATTTTTTAAAATTAATATGTGTATATAGTTATAGTTTATTAATAAACAGTAGTGTGTGTTAAAATTTGTAGCAATTGTTATTATTTATAATTACTACTACACTGCTGTTCATATATTCCCTTCTCTTCTTCCAAGCAAAAGCCTTAAGCTGCTGGGGGAGGGGCATCAATCCTTCTCATCCCCAGGACACAGGTGAAGACCGATGGCTCCTGGGGGAAGCATGGAGGTATAAACTCTACCCTTGGGGAAGGAGTAGGAAACACTTACAAACCAAAACTACGCAGAGATCCACTACTGTGGGAAATAGCAGGAATCTTACCCCCCAAGGCAACCAAAGAGAACAGGGCAAAACTTAGGTCCAAGAGGGAGGAGGGGCAGGTATGTTGAGAAAGTCCCACAAAGTATAGGTATGGGTCCTAGGATTGACACCGTAGTCTGCCTAGAATGTCCAAGAACTCCCTGTGTTATCCTATAGGAATACAAATGGAGTAACAAGCAACAACTGTGTGCACTGGGGAGGGGCAATGGCAGGGAGACAGACTGTCCTATGAGTAACAAGAAAGACTAACGGCTAGAGCAGGACTGTTGAGAAAAACAAGCATACAGTCACACCAGGAGAACTAGGAGCTGGTGGTGTACCAAAGGTAACTATAGCAACAAAACCCAAAGTAGGCTCCACTTCCGTCTAGACAAAGTTCCCCCACATGAACAGCCTGACCAGAGAGATGGGCTAAAATTCAGGTACAAAAAATATCCACTTTAGTTTCTACTGTTTTAGGCCTGGTAATTAGCTTTCAATAAAGCATTATAGGACATGCAAAAAGCAAAAAACAACCCCTTGTTAAATGACAAAACAATCGAAAGAATCAGACTCAGATAAGACCCAGATGTTGGACCTGTCAGATAGGGATTTTAAAATACCTATAATTAATAGGTCAGAGGGCTTAGCAGAAAAGAATGAAACATGAATGAAAAAGTGGGACATTTTCATTAGAAAGGTGAAAACTATAAGAAAGAATAAAATGAGACACCAGCAGATGGCATAACGGTTACATCGCTGGACTCCCATGTAGTCAATCATAGTTCATGTCCTGGACCTGGCAGCTTAAAACTTACACCAGTGTGTGTGTGTGTGTGTGTGTGTGTGTGTGTGTGTGTGCCCAAAATCCCTAGGGAAGAATGGAGAAGAGAGGATTTTGGCATGGCCATTTCCCGGGGCGGGGGTGGGGTGGGTGATTTCTCATTTTCTTTCTCTGTTTTTCTCTGTCTCTCTGGCAAGTGCATGTGCCCGGTAGCAAAAACAACAACAACAGCAACAACTTATAAAAAAATAAAGAGTAAAATGATATTTCTAGAAATAAATGAAAAAAAATTGAGTAGTTGCTTTGACTCATCAGTAGACTTAGTGCTGCAAAGGGAACACTCTGAACTTGAAGATAGTCAATAGGAACTATCCACACTGAAATACAAAGGAAAAAAAAACACACAAATCAGAACACCCAAGAGACGTGGAACAGTATCAAATATCTAACAACCTAATATGGGCAGGATCAGAATTCCAGAACAAAGAACAGCACAATAGTGTAAGTAAATGATCGCGTTATTTGGAAGCAATTACAGCTTCCGGTACTCCTCAGTGACACAAATTTTCATTTGGCCACTAGTCTCTGAGCCTTGGTAGTAGGTGATGGGGAAGAAGAGAAGAAGCCGAGAGCTAAGGAGTGGTGAAGAGACAACAGATTGAGAAAGATGAAGGAGCAGGAGCAAAAGGGACAGGAGGGGAATCCGGAGAGTATAGTTTGTGGAGAGGTTTTGAAATTTGGAGAAAAGAAGGCAATAGCTGTAAGTAGCTACCATTTGCTACTTTTATCATCTATTCTCTTAAGCCAGTAGGTGGTGTGGTGGTTAAGGTACTGGATTCCCATATAACTGACCATGGTTCGAGTCCTGGACCCTGTGGTTTAAAAATCACTCCAGATGTATGTATTTGTGTGCCCAAAATTCCGAGAGAAGAATGGAGGAGAAGGGACTGTGGCAAGGCCATCCCCTCTGGGGGGTGATTTCTCAGTTTCCTTCTCCCTGTCTCTGTCTTTCTCCAGCAAGTGCATGTACCCTATGGCAAAAAACTAAAATAATTTATTCTCTTAGCAATTTTTGAAATATGCTTTTCATTGTTATTAACTGTAGTCGCCATGCTGTGCAATAGATCTCAAAAACTTACTCCTCCTGTCTGACTAAACTTTGTACCCTTTGACTAGTTCCCCATTACTTTTCACCTCCCTCGGTCTCTGATAACCGCCATTTCTACTTTCTGCTTTTGAGTTTGACTTAGATTCCACGTATAAGTGAAATCATGCAGTATTTGTCTCCCTGTGCCTGGTTTGTTTCACTTAGCATAATGTCCTCCAGGTTCATCCATGTTGTCACAAATGACAGAATTTCCTTTTCTTTTTTAAAGAGTATTATTCTACTAAGCACATGTGTATGTATATACAGACTGCTATCATATGTACACACACATATATTACATATACAAATGCATATACATACACACACACACACACACACACACACATACATATATTACATTTTCTTTATCTTTCGATGGATGCTAAGGTTGATTCCTTATCTCAGCCCTTGTGAATAATGCTGCAATTAACATGGGCGTGCAGATATAGCCTAACATGCTCATTTCAATTCCTTTGGATGTAAAGGCAGAAGTGAGATTGCTGGATGATATGACAGTTCTATTTTTAGTTTTGTGAGGAAGCTCCATACTGTTTTCCATTCCTAGAGTACAAGGGTTGCCTTTTCCCTATACCCTAGCCAAAACTTGTTATCTTTTGTCTTTTTGATAAAAGTCATTCTAATGGATATTATATAATGTCTTGGTGTGGTTTCAATTTGCATTTTATTGGTGCGGTTAAATATTTTTTTCATACTTATTGGCCATTTGTATATTTCCTTTTGAGAAATGGCTATTCAGGTCCTTTGTCAATTTCTAATTGGGTTGTTTGTTTTCTTGCTATTGAGTCATTTGAATTCTTTATATATTTTGGATTAACCCCTTATCAGATATACAGTTTGCAGACATTTTCTCACGATTTGTAGGTGTCTCTTTACTGTGTTGTTTCCTTTGCTGTGCAGGATTTTTAGTTTGGTGTAATCCCACCTTGTCTATTTTTCCTTTTGGTCCTATCAAAAAAAAAAAAAAAAAAAAAGCTAGCCCAGACTGTTATCATGAAGCTCTCCCCCAACATTTTCTTATAGTAGTTTAACAGTTTCTGGTCTTATATTTAAGTCTTCAATCCATTTTTATTTGATTTCTGTACACAGTGTGACTAAGGATCCAATTGCATTCTTGTGTATGTGGATATTCAGTTTTTCCAGCACCATTTGTTGAAGAAATTGTCTGTGTTCTTGGCACGTCTGTTGAAAATTGACTCTAAGTGTGAGGGTTCATTTCTAGGCTTTCTATTCTGTTCCATTGGGTAATGTGTCTGTTTTTATGCCAATGCAAAGCTGCTTTGATTACTAGAGCTTTGTGTGTGTGTGTGTTGTTTTAATTTCTTTTTCTTTGTTGAATGTCAGATTGGTTTTGTTGCTGCTGTTGTTGCTCCTGACTCTCTGCTGAGCCAGAAACATAAGGCAGCTTAGCCTTGTGGGAATCATATTTGGGCTAAGGTAGTTGGAATAGAAATTGAGAGATAAGGATAGACTTGGAATATTGAGGAGGGATGTGTCAAAGGTGAACAAAATTGTCTCCGTTCTAATGGCGCTGCAGCTCTGTTCTACTTTCTGTAGCTGTTTGCATAAACTCCTAGTAGCAAGCCCTGCCTATGGTGCCTCAATGCCTAGTTTCAGACTTTGTGGAGGAAAAAAAAGGAGCATAGGCCCAAACATCTGCCTTTGGGGAGCTTTCACCATGGGGACAAAGCCCAGGCCAATTAGAAGAAATTCATGACAGTATATAATGATGACCAAAGGCTATTCCTCAGCAGTGGCTCTGGAGAAGTAAGATGATGAAGAATCATTTATAAGGTTAGGTTATTGGGGAACTATTTATAGAATATTTGGACTTATGTCCTATTAGAAGAATCTAGTATCAACAAAGAGATCCATGAAATAACTGAATGGAAACATGCCATGGAGCTAAATTCTGGGAAAAATTCACAGAAAAGCAAACTTAACAACCTATTACATCCTACCAGTTTACCTCTACACTTAACAATAAATAAAGATCCACTTTCATTGACCTTTCTAAGAAGATAAGAATGTTTTAATTATGCAATAAAATATGCATGTCTGCATGCATACATATATATTCACACACACACATTTTCTTTTTCTTTTTTTTTTTATTTCCAGAAGTCATGTGAGTTTGCCAGAGAGAGACAGAGAAAAAGGCAGGAGGTATACCCCAATGGGGCATGGTCATACTGCAATCCCTTCTCATCTGCTTCTCCACCTTGTTGGGCTATTGGGTACCCATGCACACGTAACCAGCATGTTTTTCAAACACCAGGGCAGAATTTGACCACAGTTGGCTATGTGGGATTCTGCTCCCTTAGCCATTAGGCTATTAGGCCGGCCTTCTTCTTCTTTGTCTTCTTTTTTTTTTTTTTAAGAAAAGCATGTGCTAGTGGGGCGGGCAGGTGGCATGGTGGTTAAAGGTGCTGGACTCCCACATGGCCAACTGTGGTTCGAGTCCTATACCTAATAGCTTGTTTTCTCACTTTCTCTCTCCCTCTGTCTGATCAAACTGAATAATAATAATAATAGTAGTAAATAAAGATAAATAAAATGATTCTAAAAAAAGAAAGAAAGAGGGACCAGCAGTTAGCTTAATGGCTGTGTCGCTGGACTCCCATGTAGTCAACCACGGTTTGCATCCGGGACCGGTGGCTTGAAACTCACGCCGGGCGCGTGTGCGTGCGTGCCCCGGATCCCAAGAGGAGAATGGAGGAGGAGGGACTGCGGTGTGGCCATCCCCGCTGGGGGGTGATTTCTCGCTTTCTGTCTCTGTTTCTCTCTGTCTGTCTGGCGAGCGCACGCGCCCCATAGCAAAAACCTCTCCAAAAAAATAAAAGCATTAAAATTAAAAAGAAAGAAAGAAAGAAAGAAAAATATGTGCTAATCATGTTGTATGGACACAATTTCTGTGCCCAGGCTCCCTTCTTTTTTTTTTTTTTTAAATAATTCTTTTTTTTAATTATTTTTTATTTAATTGTATTCACTGTTATTATTTTATTTTATTTTGAAGTTAACTAGAGGGAGACAGAGAGAGAGAAGGAAAGTGAGGAAGCAAGCTGCCAGGTCCAGGACTTGAACTGTGGTCAGCCATGTGGGAGTCTGGCTGCCTTAACCACCATGCCACCTGCTGGCCCCAATAGCAAGCCCAGGCTCTCTTCTAAGCCAGGACAAATATCATAAGTGGCCCAAAAGAAAATGACATAAAACTCTCAAGAGTGTTATCTTTCCATATAAGCAACCTCAGAGACCTTCCAATCTACATATTTCTATAAATTATTATACAAGATACAAACAAACTTGTCTCTGTTACTTACGTATAATTCCTCAAGAGTTGTATATCTCCCTTCAGCATGGGAATATATTGGTGCAAAAGTTCCTTGTCATCCACAAAGTACTTGGGAGTGCCTCCAAAATCCATGAGGATACGGCCAATTTTTTCTTCTGACAAGTCATTATCTTCAGGAATGCGAAACCGGGCCTCTGACTTTAAACATTAACAACATAGGCATGATATCTCATATAACACGCTTGCCTATGAGCTGAAAATTATCTAAGGGAAAGTCATTAAAACAAGCTTAGAAAATGGACTTCTTTATCTACAGGTTTCAGAAGGAAAAAAAAGTTCAGGAATTTCAGTGTCATAATGCCAACAAGATGGCATTCTAGGCTTAGAATTCCAGGCCAGTCAGGATCTTTCTACAGACGAGGTGGGAAAGATCAATGGATAAGATAAAGAGTAGTAGGAACAACAGAACCAAGACTCTAAAGTCATAGTAGTTCCAAACATTTGACATTATTGTCCCCTGTTGAAATTGTAAGGATTCTTTTGTCTTTTGTTGTTTGTTTCTGCATGCATGCACACGTGCCTAGCATGATTTTCCAAGCCACGAGGTCTGAGACTTAAATCATGGTCGACCATGTGCAAGTCCAGCACCTTAGCCACCACACCACCTGCTGGCCCCATCTTTACTGGTCCTTATCCAGTTACTTTACTGAAAGTTTCTTAAGTTCTCAGGTAACCCAGAATGAAATAAAAGGCACTGATGGTCAGTTTTAACTCCTAGGAGCCAGAAACAGAGCAGCAATGATTTGGGAACGGTCGAAGTATTTGTCAGAGAAATGCAGAGAGAATTATATGGAAATAATTTTGAGGGAATTTTCAATAGCAAATAGTATCCTTGTCGTCATCTCCAGGCTGGAGCAAAATTAGCCAGAAAGGAAAATAATGGCTTAATTATTATCCCATTTCCCTCCTCTCCACTGGCATCCCTAAAGAAAACTAAATTACTTACATGGGGAGGAGTTGTACTTGACACAAAGAAATGCATTGGTTCTAGCTTATGTCTTTCTTTTAGGTATAGTGCAGTCATAAAAGCAACATAGGATCCCATGCTAAGTTTAAGAAAGAAAAATATAATATTTAGCAAAACTCATGATAATCCATCAAAAGTAAAGAAAAAAAAAAAAGAGGGTATCATTTTTTATCCTGCCCGTTGGTAAATAATTCTGATTTGTAAAGATATGTTTCCCATGATTTCCATCAGCATAAAAATTGTTCCAGAGACAGCCTACATAATTTCATCTGAGATTTAGTATAGATTTCCATAGCATCTTGAAGTTTAAATTTCCATTTCTTCCTTAAAGATGTGTATCACTATGTCTTTGATGGTATTTATCAGCAGTTCTCAATGTACAGTCTGGGAACCCCTGAAATTTCTGAGGGCCCCCTAACAGAAGGCCCACAAGGTCAAATTATTTCAGGATAATATCAAAATGTTATTTGCTTTTTAAACTCTCATTCTCTAATAAATGCACAGAAGCATTTCCCAGAGGCTTTATAATATGGCGCTTTTTGTGTCTTGTTTTTTTTTTTTTTTTTTTTCTAGAGAGATTTTTGCTTTAGGGCACCTGTGCTCACTGGAGAGACAGAGAAAAACAGAGAGACAGAAAGTGATAAGTCACCTACAGGGGGATGGCCATGCCACAATTCCTTCTCCATTCTCCTCTCAGAATTTTGGGAACACACATGTGCCCAGCATGAGTTTTAAGCTACCGGGTCCGGGACTCAAACTATAGTCGACTATGTGAGAGTCCAGTGATGTAGCCATTACACCATGTGCTGGTCCCATCACATGAAGATTTGCAACAATTTAAAAACAGAAACAGAAATAAGAATCCTGCTACCTTCTATTATGCCATACATGAGACAGATTTACAAAAGTGTAAAGCAACGCCAATCTTCTATTTGGGGGTATGGTGGGGGGGCATGGTATTTTTCATAAAAATATAGTATCTATGTCAATATATAATGGGTTTGTTAATATTATTTTTAGATAAGTAATTGAATTGGTGGCTTGCTTTATTACTTTCCCTCTCTCTCTCTCACCCTGTCCCTCTCTGGTCAAATTTAAATAAATAAGTACAGTTAAATAAAATAATAATTTAAAAAAAGAAAAGAAAATCATGCCGGATGTGTGTGCATGCATGTCTAATATCCCAGGAGGAGAATAGAGAAGGAATTGCTGCGTGGCCATCCCCCCCGGGGCGTGATTTCTCACTTTCCCACTCACTCCATCTCTCTCTGGCAAATACATGCGCCCTATGGCAAAAACCTTACAAGAAAAAAGGTATAAAAGGGAGGCCAGCTGATGGTGTGCTGGTTAAGGTGACTGGATTCTACATGGCCGACTGCATAGTTCTAATCCTGGACCTGATGACTTGAAAAACACACAGGATGTATGCACATCTGCCCAAAATCCAGAGAGGAGAATGGAGAATGGACAATGTCTATTGTCCCGGTGGGTGATTTCCCCCTCTCTGTCTTTCATTGTCAAGTGCATGTGCTCTATAACAAACTAAAAACACTTAAAAAATAAGTAAATAAAAGGTTGCTGAGCCCCAAAACATTTTGAACTGCTATAGATACTACATATAAATATTTTGTAGGTAGAATTTCCAGAAGTCATTCATTTGTAAATTGTATATTCATGTATGTTGTAATCAATAGGGAATCTTAGTCCCATGTTCATTGTTGATGGAGTATGAAGTACAGAGCTTTAACAATGTGCATATCATACAAGCAAAAATTTTTTTTTTGGAGAGGTTTTAGCTACAGGGTGTGTGCACTCGCCAGAGAGACAGAGAGACAGAAAATGAGAAATCACCCCCTAGAGGGGATGGCCATGCTGCAATCCCTTCTCCATTCTCCTCTTGGGATCTTGGGCACATACGCACATGAACCTAGCGTGAGTTTAAGCCTCCGGGTCCAGGACTTGAACTGCGGTCAACTACATGGGAGTTCAGTGACATAGCCATTACACTAACTGCTGGCCCCCTATATAAGCTAAATTTTGAGAATTGATCTTAAAAAACTGGTAAGCGATTGGTGCTAAATGTTCTACAAGAATGTCCATTGAAGTGGAATCTATATGAAAAATTATAACAATAACTCGTCTCTACAAAAGAGTAAAAATAAATCATGAAGCAATGTATACTTACAGGCTGAAAAATATGTTCATAATAAAAAGTGAAAAAGGTAAAGATCAAAACAGAGCCTCAACATATAAAAATATCAAGGAACTACATGAACAAAAAAAAAGTGTTTTTTAGGGCATGTGCATTTGCTAGAGAGAGAGACACAGAAAGGGGAAGTGAGAAATCACTCCCAGGGGGAATGCCACATTATGATCTCTTCTTCTCCATTATTCTCTTCGGATTTGGAGCATGCACACACATGCACCTGGTATGATTTTTTCAAGCTGCGGGTCTGGTACCTGAGCCACAGTCAGTCATGTAGGAGTTGAGCAGCTGAATCACCACACCACCATCTGGCCCTCCACGTCAAAAGTTTAAAGCATTATTAATACACTTTCTTTTTCAATTTTTGTTTGACTGTATTTATAAACATTATAAATAGCCAAAATTTATTGAGTCCTTACTATATACCAGGTTATTTATGATCACTATTCATTTAATCCTCACAAATATGAACTATTATTATTCCAGATTTATAGATGAGGAGACTAAATCTGCCCAACGTCCCACAGCTGTTAAGAGGCAGTCACAGAACCGCAGGGTTTAAGACCAAACCACACAATTACACAACCTAGCTTAAAAAAAATACATTATTTATATAAATTTTTATTTTAAAAATAAATGGAATATAAATTGCCATGAGTCTTTAGTTTAAAAGTCTTGATTGCTTGCCTAAAATGAAAAAGGTATAATTACTATGCAAACTGGCAGATTCTTGGTCGTAATTACCCAACATGCTTTTTAACTGATACAAAAGGTATGCATCTCACAAGACACAAACAGCATTAACCATGGGCTTGTGATTGAAGGAACTCCCCCAGGTGTCTTTTAAGACAGATTTTAAATACCTGTGGCCAAAAAATGCAAATGGCTTATCCTGGATGACTGGCAGCAGAGCACAAGCAACTTCTTCAGCTACTTGGTAGATGTCATTTGCCAAAGGTTCTTCTAATCGACTTTCTCTTCCAGCAAGCCTTACTGAGTGCACTAGGGATTGAGAAATACAAATTCATATGTGCATACACCAAATGAGATATTGTGATGTTGTAATAAACCATTTTAAAGAAATAAGTAATGATCAAATGAGGTAAAAATTTGAGATTCAGTCCAGCTATCATAGGACAGGCAGGAGGGAGTTGATGGATGATACTGAAGTCACGTGATTCAGATACTGGGTCAACCTGAACATGCTCGTGATTCTATCTGGAAGGGATATAGGGGGCAGGA